AGTATACAAAATTACCTTTCGGAGAATATACGTATGACTTTCTTAACATACGCATAACTCATTTTATTGCAGAATTTGTACTATCGATTCAAATGGTTTGCAAACAAAATTTATCAACTATTTGACGCCAAGTTTGCGTAAGGACGCAAAGGGCGACGACGACATTGTCGTGATAACGTTCATGCGACGTATCGTGCGTAACTCTTTGCGTGAGGTATATTGCGCAATTGCACATCTGGTCGTTCACAGCTTGAGTGCAGATTGTGGCTTCATTGCATTAGTATCATATCCTCGGCCGCAGATAAAACCCTTTCAGACGAATTTTGATCGAACATAGTAAAATTGCTAGAATAAAAGGCAATTTTATATACGTTTACTATTTGGATATGGGACGAAAATGAATGGCCAAAACGAAATACTTGATCCTCATGAATTTATGAGGTTCCGCTCACCTGGTCAGTGTTTTACATTTTGCAGCCTCATTAGATTTTCGAAATTACTGCATATACGCTACATTCCTGATATCGCTATATTTACAATGGATTTTAAACGAAAGCTTTGTCCAGATGAAATATTGGATAGTATTCATCTATCGGAAGAAGAAAATATGGCACAATAAAACTCAGCAATGGCGCTAAACAATGCATCCATCGATATGTTCCATCATTCTATTTTTAAAAATCCTTATTTTGGCTATTCGTATTTTTCATATCTTTATGCAATTAAAACGGCAATAACACTGCGTATTGTGTGTTTTAGTCGAACCGATGTAATGCGTGAATTTCCCCGTGTATCGTTTACAAGTCGTAAGTCGCTTCACGAGTACGAACTTAAGTAAATGACGTTCCGAGCATGCGAGGAAAAGTGTTTCTCGTATGAAACGTAAACGTGCTACGTGCCAACGTAATTGATTAACGTCGCTGCGTAACGGCGTAAATGTGTTGGGTCGTTATTTACGTCACCTTGACGTCGCCTCGATCTTGCGACAAACAAAATCACGAATAAAAATGCTTCTGAAATTTGAATGGTGCAACATAAGTTCAATCTAATGGTATCACTGGAAAGCTATCTTCAAATTCTACAAATTTTGTCGATAATGTACTAGGTTTAATCGAAAACAAATTTAAGTTTTGTCAATTAGATTTGAGCAAATTTCAGAAGTTTTTTATGCTTTTTAATTTTGCCAATTTTCATAAGATGATCACAATATTTTATCTCAATTTTAAAATTATACTTAGTCCTGTAGATTATCTTTCACACGATGTAAAACTTGTCTAAATATAATAAATGGTTCGCGAGATATGAGGTTTCAAAGTTGCATACCTCTTACGGGATGCGAAAGCCGCTAAACCGGCTTTCAGCGTCAGAAGACTTTCTCGGGAAAGCCGGTTTAGCGGCTTTCAGGGTTCAAAGAGTTAAATATACGGTACGGTATACGGCACACGGAATTAGGATATAATATACAGTACACCGTATTATCTTTCGTCACTCAATAAAAGAACTGGATTAATTGGTTTCAAATAAATTTAACACATTGCAAGTCGGTGGCAATCATATTGGACGAAGGAATTTAGGAATACAGCCAGCTATATAGTCTGCAGGCCGGCCATCTCGGTCGGGACGTATTTGTCGCCTTCAAATATCATCAGGTTAAAGGGCGTCACTTACACTAGCATCGCAGTTTGTTATGTAATAAAATCAATATTTATAATATTTAGCTGATAGAATTCCCGGGGAATAGATAACAAGCACGGCTTTCAACCGTAAATATATACTACTACGTTTCAACAAGTAATTTGCAACTGATAGTGACTAATGAAGTTACTTGCTCATCTGCCATTGTATGAATGGCTACTTATAGCTTGTTTTGTTACACATTTCTAATTTTTTTGAACATGTTTGTTTGACTTTTGTATGAATTAAATTTTGAAATATGCTCGTCAACTGATCATAATGTCGCATAATGTTGTATTCCTTCAGAACTGAAATATTTTGTTAGTAAGAAGACAAATCGCTGAAGTTTGATTCTTTTCAATGAAGAAATAAAAACGCTGTCATTCATCTAAAAAACGTCTGTTTTCAGTGCCTAGTTTTCGTTTTGTGACATCTTTAAGCTATCTTAATGTACGGCTGATATCTAAAATACTGCAGTGTGTAATCATAATACACATACCTATACATAAGATACCGGAATAATTCAATTGTTATGAAATAAACGTGCTCAAACTGTGATAATGATGTGACAATAGACGGTATCTAAAACTCAAAAGGTAACACATGAAGGGTTAAACTATTTCACTCAAATTCGGCGGGCCATTTTAAATCGTCACGCGGGCCGTAATTGGCCTGCAGACTGCGGTTTAGAACCCCTCAGTGTGGAATCACACCTCAAAATTAGGGGGGGTGTAGGGAAATCACTGTTCCCACGCCTAATGTCCTCTTCTTGTTGAAATTATATAAATTTATAATACACACACATATATACACACACGTATATGTAGTTTTTACAACTTCACATGAATAGAAATTAAGCAAGGAAGTATAATGAATAAAACTGATCAATTTTATTTAAGTACCGCCTTTATGAGACTTTCGCTGCTGTACACAACTGCAAATGTTTACAAACAAAAATCAACCTTGATACACGCATTTACACACACAAGAAGAAACTTTACCAATTGAGTTTACAGAAAATCACTCATTTGGAGAATTACCGAATCACTGAATTAAACACTGAATGAATAAATTTCAATGACAGCCGCATATATATAGTTAACTCAGCGAAAATTCTCGTATCCACGCAAAAATTCGAGCAATTTACGATAAACAGACTACGATTGATTACGAAAAGGGAACCGTTGTGACGCCATGCTTCAAGTAAAAATTACAGCCTTCCTGAAAGTAGGAAAAAACGCATTCTGTCTTATGAGAATTACGCAATAAAGCTGTTTTTAACAACGAAGAGAAAAAGGTACGATTAAGAAGTAAAGTCAGGCGTAATATTGAGACATCAGGCCTTTAGTATCAATATCTACTCTACTCTACCCTCGATTCTAATCGGCCTTTGCTAATCAGCTGTTTGGCCTAGCGTCGCGTGATTTTACTCCAGGCTTCTTCGAGATTAGTACTGCGTCACAGCAAGCGATTTTACGCTTCGCTTTTGTTGACAACGGTCATTTGAAGTTTGGATAGAAAAGGTGGTATTTAGGGGTCATTTTCAGCATGTTGTGGGTTGATTTATAATATTTTTTTTAGGCTTGGGCAATTCAACTGGTTGTTCAATGGTTATTGGGATATATTTAGGAAGTCTGGGCAATGGAAAATCCATGTTTCAAGCTGATAAATGACGAGTTTCTATTTTTCCAGAAGTTCTGAACTTTTTACTTCAGTAAGGAAAAAATAGTAAATTTTACTAATTTTTGCTAAAAGTCTAAAATGGATGTCATAAAGTCCGTCCAAAAGCTAACGTCGATAATCGCCTGTTGTTTCTAATTCCAACAAGCCGTAAGTGGGCGACGTGGAGTAAGAAGAATAGATTTTAGGTACAATCAAAAGTCACCATGTAAATCGCAAAAAAACGGCTTGGCGTGGAGAAGCCAAGTGCAATTAACAATTTTGGCATGAAAAGGGTTAAAGATGCAATGCGCCACCTCTAATCATGCAATGCGCCCCGTTTGGCGCATGCGCCATAGGTTGGCCACCCCTGCTCTATACTATTGCAAACAAAAAACTGTTTACAGAACGAAACTAAGACTCATTGACTCATCGATTCCTAAATTAAAATAGAAAGTGTTCAAACCCAACCAAAATTCGCCATCTTTCTGGGCTTCTACTCCAAAGCCTCTTGCATAACTTTCCCAATTTCTATCATAAAATCTTACCGCACCAGAATGACGCCTTTGGATAGTCTAAAGATATTATTCATAATTTTTGCAATAAAAACTTGCTATTTAGTCTCGAACCAGAAGTATGCTTGAAGCAAGCTCTATTTTGTGATTGTGTGTGACGTAATTTTGCAGGAAAAAGTTCATTCTTACGAGCGTCAGTGAAAAAACCACATAAAATACTTGTCAGTATATCAACATGAACAATTTTCATTTTTACCCAAAGTGTGAAAGTATTGTCATATAAATATCGCTGCAAATGTATAATTGGTCCTATTAGCTAAGTTGTTCTAACATTGTTGACATTTGCGCTTAGAATCTGGAGTTTCAGAATCGAACTTTATATGCAATAGCCGGCTTAATTAGTTAGCTTCCCAATGAGTTTGCTGGACAGGGCTACTCAACTGGCGGACCGCGGTATGAATCCGGACCTCTCGAGTATTGGATTCGGATCGCACCTGATTATATATTTCTTATCATTGGCCCACTCTGAATATATTTGGATTTTCACATATACTTGTTTCCTTTTATTAAATATGACTTTTATATTTTTGAAGGTTATTTTATAATTTACTCATATTTGCACCGGACTATCTTGATAAGCTAATAATCATTAGCCGACCGAGGAAGTGCGCGCTTAAGTTCTGAAAAGATAAGACCCCAGTAATTTCAAAGTTTTGTATACGAATCTTTGGTAAAAATAGTTGAAAAGTCTTGTACTAAAGAATTAGCACACAAAATAATCAACATATGGCAACTAAATTTTTTTTCACTACGCGAAAGATATTGTGCATCTGCCTTCAACAATGCTTAATTTTTTTATGAAAATAACGTATATTTACAGCAATATATTTTAATTGGAAGAAGGAAATTTATCTTCCGCTGATTTGGCAATCTTTTTAGCAATTCTTGTGTTCTCGTGCATTATCGTATGAGTACAGATGCACGCCCTTCGCCTTCATATGTTTAGGAACTCTTCTTTTTTACATATTAATGAGATCTATTAATCATACTACCGTTAATTAAACCATCTAATAAACTGTGAATTTAATATTATCTCTATGCCTCATACGCACAAAAACCCGATACATCCCGATGAAATTATCTAATTTTACTTCAAAATCCAAGTTACTTCCATTTGAATTCTACATAATATGTTTTAAAATATAGAAGTAAATAAAAATTACTAAAGTAGTAGCATTGAGAAGTCTGTATTATTTGATCACATATAAATTACGACTTTCCAAATTCGAACAAAATAGCGCGTCGTTGTGTCAAATTGAAAGTTTAAAAAAGATAACTACAACAAAGTAAAACGTTTAGAACGGCATTGCAGACTTTCTGCTCGAGTTTTAAATTTTCAGTTTAAAACATAGTAAATAACAAAGTTATTTTTAAAATGAGAATCTCTACGTTGACGTTGCTCCAACACCTGGAATGATTATTTACACCGGATGAATCTTCATTTCACTGAACGAGAGATAATCGTTCCAGTAGAAGTTATAATCATATTTTCCATTCAGGTTGGAACCATAGCAACTCTTATACCACCAGGCACCATTGTGATTGAGAGCACAACTTTCTTCATATGCGTCATTGTCTGCATCATAAGTGGAAAACGTTTGATGATTATGATACGACATATAGTCATCAGCATTACCAGAATATCCCGAGATTGTCAGCTGAAATTTTGATTTTTCACTTCCTACTTCGAATGTGCTGAAATAGAAATATAGTTCTCTTAAAATTTAATTAAGCGAATATCGCACGCATCACGAGAAACAACTGGCATAAAGCGGCGAAATACCGCTTTCCGATGAAATTAAACTGAAGGTTCTCGCACGTTTGAACAAAAAGTTATGACATTTTTTAGAAGGGGTATGCAAAATTCTCCAGCCAGAAAGACTACATAGGGTTTGTTAAAAAAATTATAGAAATTATAAAATAGATTGTTGTGAACTGAAATTGCGTGTTCAATTTTGTTCTTAACCCGAACTCCAGAACACAAACAATAGAGCAACTCTTAAAATATATGGATTCGAACGCTGCCGACGATCAGTCCGAGAGCTCTGCTTAGTACTATTGGGAATGATAACTTATGTTTTTGTGACAACGAATTCAATACTATTGTAAAGAGATGGCGAATAAAGTTTGATTCCTACATTCGACATAAAAAGAACCAATGTAATATATATATTAGTAACCTACGGTAATTTTGGTAATATAGGGTTTCTTATATGTGGCGCTCGAGACGAAACACGAGAGAGGTTATAGCTCATGAATGTGACGGTGTTTACCTGTATTCTGCGTAATATGATGTACCAGGTTTTGTTCTCATATCAATACGAAGTTTATAATCCCTCGATGTTGTCAGTTGATGAATTGTTCGAAGACCTGAGAAACAGGAAAAATTTGTCAAAAACTTTATTTTACTATTCCAGTGATATATTACTTGATATAGATTGGGCTGTAGAGTAATTAGTACATTCTCTCGCTGTAGGCTGCTTCATTATTTAATGAATTGCATAGATTAGGTCGTTTGAGCCGTTTGCATCCGATTTAGAAATCTCATATTTGTTTTTTCAGCTTTACGCGCACATTAAATTTTCCGCCTTAATACATATTAAATCAGACTTGAAGACCAATTGCGTGGCCATAACGTCCTATTCTTCAAACTGAAGCCATTCTATCTCGTGCTGTGCACCTAATATATTGCTTTATTAAAGACAGGATACGTTTGTAATAATAGCATATTTATGAATATATAATTGGAATTTCATTCACCGAGCCAAAATTCTTCATTTTTATCTCCAAAACCTGTGGCATAACTTTCCCAGTTTCTGTCATAAAATCTGACTGCTCCATTTTGTCGTCTCTGAATTGTCTGGAAGAAGTAATAACGATTTTACTGTTAACAAATTACACTATAAAACAATCTAGATTTTAATACTTAAAGATCAATAGTTTTATCTAGCCTAGTTTGGGCCAACGGAACGTGTTATACGCTAAAGCAGCTGCACGTGTCGGTGAACAAGGAAAAGCTTCCACTAATGGAATTGATATATGCTCTGCAATTACCCATGAACGAATGATAAGTTGTCACTAATAAAAAATCTCACGATGACAAATAAGAAAACTTACAATCCATCCATCTTCATTCACTGAATATAGTTCGCAATTAACCTCAATGGGAGTGAGGTCTCCCTCGCTTTTCCGTGGATATATTTTGCTAGCCATACCATTTTGGTCGCAACTTGATGGGAAAATGAAATCGCTGTCTGAATAGATATAAAATAAACAATTAATTTAATCATATGTAGAATAAAAAAATTCAACTTATACTCTCAGAAAATATAAGTTCAAAAACACCAACCTCCTAGTTTTTTGATGGTTTTATTAATCTGATCATTTTTAGTTTCGAGATCCCGAATTTGTTGTTTCATTTTTCGATTTTCACTTTCAATTTCATCTATTTTCCTGCTCATCTCTCTCATTGCCTGTTCATCTGCAATATTACACTGACAAGGTATTCCCTTTTCGCTTTTTATTCCAGGCAATCCATTCATCCCTCGTTCTGTCGTTTCTCCAGGTTGACAAAGTGTTGTTGTTGTTGTGCAAGTGTAAGGAGGAGAAAGTAGATTTCTTTCAGCTTGTGTGGAAGTTATGCATAGAATGCACATAAGCGAGTAATAGCTAACCATGGCTATGTCTAGTTATCTGAATAAGTACATAAAAACTCAAATCAAGTCACGTCGATGTTGATTATAGTCTCGAGTAGAAGCTAAGTGTATTTCATGAACACGAGTAAAATGAATAAATTTGAGTTACACAGACACTAAGACGTGAAACGTTAACTTTGCGTTCAAGGTATTTTGGGAAGCATATACTTATATATATATTACATATATAGCAAACAAGATATTAATCTTGGCAGTGTAACGAATGTGGATTGTGACTATGGACTTGCGAACTGTGTTTAGTTATCTAAATAAGTACATTATTGTTATTCAATCTCGGATCTTTGGATAGCTAAAGGCTGGAAATAGGCTTTTAAGCTTGCTGGGTTATACAGAAAGATTTTTTTATCATGACAATGTAAGCGAGTTAGATACACGGATGTGGAGTCTGAGAAAATTCACAATAGACCCCCGACTCCGGATTTTGACTCTAACTCGGGTCAATAAAAGTTCGATTTTTGACTCCGGGTTGTATAAAATTTTGACTTCAACCTCTACTCTTTACTCCGAGTAAATCGAAGTCCAATAACCAAATTTTTATGTATGCAAGGCGAAAAATACGGAACGCATAACAAATTTTTATATTTAAGGAGAAAACATTGACATTTTTGTCATCATTGAAAACTATATATTTCGAGTCGTGGTAATTCTGAATTTTGACTCCGATGAATTTGAAAATACGATCACGACATCAGTGAAAACATACTAAACTAAGGTATTTTCTATTAATAGATGTGATCCTGAATTCAAGGACCGACCGCATTGCACTTGCACTTATATTCAAATGATTGCACGTAATGCCTGATTATTGCTAGAAATTTACCTAGTACTGGAAATAAAAATTGGCTAAATTAGAATTTGGGATAAAATACACAAACTGGAAAACGTGAAATGAAAGATATCCCTCAAGACTTCATACATTGAAAAAAATCGTTACAATTGAAGAAAGTGCACGAGGTATTTTGTTACAGATTTTTGAAAATGTGGATGATACTCTGACCTAAACAAATACCTTTACGAATACGTTTCATAAACTTTTACGAATACTAAAGACCTATTGAAAATCTTAAACAACTTATTCTTATTGCGACGGTCAAAAATTGCCTACTGCATCTCCACTGTGTTAAGTCACTGTGTTAAGTTACGGCTTATAAAGAAATTCGATTGTTTGAATCGAATTAAACCATTAAACTGTTAAAATCTGCGGGTTAAACTGGTTGTAAATTCCCAAATAAATTTGAATTACGGCGCCCTATATCCGAAATGTCAAATCAGATTAAACATTAATTCAGACGTGCAGCTGGTTTATTGAAAAATTATGTTTGAATTGGAAAATTATAGTTTTAACTGGTTGTAAAGTCTCAAATAAATTGAAATAGCGGCGCCTCTTATCCAATATGTCAAATCCAAATATACATCGCTTCAACTGCGCAGGTGGCTTCTAAAAATTGTCAAATCTTTGAATTGATCGTTAAATCTTCGAAAGCTGCGACTTAAACTGGTTAAACTTAAAGTACTGTTCCATTGTGAGTAAAAATAATGCAGAAATGTGAGATTCAAGAAAACACCCCTCCACGTTTTAAAATAACAAACTATCAATTATCCAGTTAGGGTTAGCGTTAGGATTAGAAATGCTTTGAAAATTAGAATCTCCGCACAATCTGCAATTCGAATCCAACGTTGCTATGTTGCGGCCCAAACTGGCTGTAAAGTCTCAAATAACTTAGAACTACGGCGCCTTATATCCGGAATGTGAAATCAGATTAAACATTGTCTCAGACGTGCAGCTGGCTTTTATGAGAATTCAAATATTTGATTTGACCGTTAAATCTTTGAAAATTGCAGTTTTAACTGATCGTATACTATAGAGCAGAGGTGACCAACCTATGGCGCATGCGCCAAACGTGGCGCATTGTATGATTAAAGGTGGCGCATTGCATCTTTAACCCTTTTCATGCCAAAATTGTTAATTGCACTTGGCTTCTCCACGCCAAGCCGTTTTTTTGCGATTTACATGGTGACTTTTGATTGTACCTAAAATCTATTCTCCTTACTCCTTACTCATTCCCTGTTTAAGGTTTAAAATCTACCAATAAATAGCAATAGTCTAACTTAACAAACATTGCTGCCAGCTCAACATCTTGGTTAAATCAGCAACATGTCGAACACCGAAACGAACAATACTTTCAACAACACCATAACACCAAAGCCGAAACCACGGATGAGCAGAAGCCTTCCAGATCCTGGCCTCTCTCCTATCGGTCCCATTCACCATCAGATTGAGGGATCTTCTAATTTTCAACTGAACCTGCAAGAAGTAATTCAGAGACAAATCGAGATCCAGCTTCCAGCTTTAATTGCCAAGTGTCTCGAAGATAAATTTAACCCGGCAAACCTTACTTCGGATTACATACCATTGAGCCCTGGGCTTAAAGAGTGTATGGAAGAGCAAACGCTGTCCATAAACGAGTTGAAACATGACATCACATCAATTAAGGAATCTCAGAGTTTTCATTCAGATATGTATGATGATCTCTCTGCAAAACAAAAATCAATGGATGTTAAATTAACAACATGCAGTAAAAGAATACGCGAACTTGAAGAATTAGTATATGATCTCGAAGAAGATCTTTATTTTGTCACCGAAAAACTCGAGGAACAAGAAAGGCGATCCAGACTCGACAACCTTGAGTTTCACGGTCTTCCTCCTACAGTGAATGAAGACACAGACAAAATAATAATGGAGATTGGCAAATCCATCCATGTCGATATCAAACCCTCAGACATCTCTGTCACTCACCGTAGTCCAACTCACAATACTAATATTCACAAACCTATTATAGTCAAGTTTACTAACAGAAAAATACGGAGCAAAATTCTGAAAAATCGGCACCTTATCAGAACTGCTGCCAATAGACCATTAACAAAAAACTTATCAAAAGCTTTTATTGTGGAAAACCTGACTGAAAAAAACAAAAATCTTTTCTATCAAGCTAAAATCCTCAAAAAGCAATGCGGATACGCTTTTCTTTGGACTTCTAATGGAAGAGTGCTAGTGAAAAAAAACAAGGACACCAGTCCCCTATCAATATCTGACGAAGAAGACTTAAAAAAAATCAGATAAGTGCCTTCATTGTCTCAACCATTTGTCTATTTATGGCTAATTCAAGCCATTTTTCACTTGTCTCAGACCTCACTCAAAGTCTAATATCCGTAACTGCTTGTCATTTTATATGTGGAGTAACTGCTTGTGGCCCTTCTACATTGAAGTTTTATTTACTGACCCATAATCGATTGCTTATATGCACTTTTATTATCCCAAGTCCAATTATCAATGTTGCCTGTAAATAATTTAACCTCCTACCCCCCAAATATAAACTGGGAATCTGCCAATCTTAACAGTCATTTTAGCTTAACACAGTGTCAATATCTCCAAATAAGTGAGACAAATGAGACTTCATCTAAGTTCCTACCATCAGAGCTAATTTTAATGCATCTTAATATCAGATCTCTGTCAAAATATGTTGATAGCCTTATTGAATTGGCATCTTATTTTTATGTCCTTCCGCATATAATCGCTCTCAGTGAAACCAGATTAAAAGATGGGTCTTCGGTTACCAATATAGACATCCCTGGTTACGCATTTTTTCATGTCCCCACTCCAACCATGGCAGGTGGCGTTGGATTTTATATAAGAAACAATTTAGAATATCAAGTGATCCAAGAATTTGATCTAACTTTGCCAAATTGTGAGGATTTGTGGATTGAGACAAGGCTAAATTCCAACAACCAGAGCCTTGTAATCGGTGTGATTTACAAACATCCCAAATGTAGTACCCCATCATTCACTAAAGCAATGGCGGGTGTATTTGAGAAGCTGGCAGTGGCGAAAAAAAAAATTTGTACTGTTAGGTGACTTCAATATCAACTTACTTGACACCTGCGACAATTCCACTACCAACTATTTCAACATGCTAATATCCCACTTTGTAATGCCAAGTAATAACAAAACCAACTAGAGTCACTCCATCCTCCCACACCCTCATAGATCATATTTACACAAATACCATAAATCTTCTCTCCTCTACCTTCATCTTGCTTAGCGATATAACTGACCACTTTCCAGTAATGTGTACTATTTCGGGCATGAATGTTGGCCCCAAAACAAAAATCAGAATGAGGCGCGATATGAAAAACTTTTGTAGCGACTCTTTCAGATCGGAAATTGAGTCGATGTGTGATAATTATATGGGTGTTTCTCTAACTAAAGAAAATTTCAATCTCTCTCTTGACTCCTTCATTGGCCATTTAAAATGGTTAATAAATAAACACACCCCCTTACGTCCTTTATCACGTAAAGAAAATAAATTATTTTCCAAGCCGTGGATCACTAGAGGAATTCGTAGGTCAATTCGGCACAAGAACAATATGTTCAAAAAAATGTACTTGCAGGGCAATTTAAACCAGCGCTTCCATTTTAAAAAGTATAAAAATATCCTTACTCACTTGCAGAGAAAATCAAAACAATTATATTACCAAAACGTCCTTGAGAATAACCGAGGAGATGTTAAACGCACATGGAAAACTATTAACGACATTATTAAGATCAAGTCCAGAGATGATATTTCCATCTTAGAATTAAAACTTGAAAATGGTACCTCAGTGTCAGATCCTGTCTTGGTGGCCAGTGAATTCAATAAATTCTTCTCAACAGTTGGTGAGAGACTTGCAAGAAAAATCTCTCAGAGCTCTAATACAATCACAGATTTCTTGGGTGTTCCCCTAGGGAAACTCTTTCTATCTTGAGTCGACGTCAACCACAGAGATTCTTCAAATAATCTCGAATCTGAAAAAGGGTAAAGCAGTTGGACCAGATGGTATTCCACCTCACTTCTTAAAAATAGTCGCAGACATCATATCCCCAGCGCTAAGCCATTTTTTTCAAACTCTTCATTTAGATTAGG